CTCTCGCTCTCCTTCTGTCCTCACTTCTCCTCTGTCCCCTCCTCTCTCCTCTGCTCGCCTCTCCGCCCCTTCCCCCAGTCTCAGGCTGCCACCCTCGTGCTCGCGACCACTAGTGTGGAGTTGTGAAGTTCCAACCTCCCTCTCCTGCCTCGTGTACTCCTCGCGCGCGCCCCAGAGCAGCCCTTGGCAGCCCCTAGGGGACTGGATGGTGCTGGGAAGGAAAGGGGGAAGGCGAGGAGGAGAAGGGAGGTAAGCAGGGCCGGGGCAGGGGGAGGACGGGATGAGGGGTTGAGGCTGGGATGAGGGGTGAGAACTGTGATCCGGGATGTGGGTTCCGGACTCGAGTCGGACATTAGCCGTCAGCCAATGAGGACGCGGCGCACGCACCGGTCCCCCCTCCAGCGCCAACCTCTTCACCCTGCCTTAACCCCCTCCCATCCTATCCTGGCCTGGGGCGGGGGGTGTGAATGCTGCTAGGTCTTCCCGCTAGTGAGAAGCGACCTCTGCCTGATCGTGGTGGCGAAGGCTGACAAGCAGGGTGGTGATTTCCAAGAGCTGAGGGGAAGCGAGAAGAGGTGTGTGTGTGTGTGTGTGTGTGTGTGTGTGTGAGAGAGAGAGAGAGAGAGAGAGAGAGAGAGACAACGTCGAAGGGGCAAATCAACACTCGTGAACCAATTGAAACAAGACGACTAGCTGTTGAACTCAGGGGACCTTGGGACCATGTCAGGGGACCTATCTTCTCGAATGCAGAGCTGACCCTCTCAGGGAACCTTGGGCTTCTTCATATCCTGTCCGCATTCAGTTTCTGAGAGGCCCCAAGGAGGGACCTGACTGCTCAGAAGGAACCCAGCACTCAGGACTCTAGGCCCCGCGTTAAGAGTTCATTCACTTGCTTGAGGCAACAACTTCTGCCTCCCCATCTCCGTTTCCCCTCCCCCCCTTACTTACAAATTTATAAACTCGACCCCAAGATTACCAGATGACAGACTTCCTCAGTTTAGTGAACTGTGTTTCTACACAAACTGCAAAGACAGGCTGGGGCTCCATGGTTGAGGTCTCCTTGGTGCTAGAGAAAGCCACTTGAGGCCCAGCATTTAAAAAAGAAACAAGGGGGGTGGGGTCTTAAAAGAACCATCTGTTACGCAAACGCTTCGGCCACCAGCCCAGCCACATCTTCAAAGTTTTCAGATCTCATCCCAACAAGATGAAAACATTCCCTCCAGCCTCCCGTCTGCATGCGAAATGCCACATATTCAGGGTCGGCTGTGCAACTGGGTAATTGCCTGCGTCCACCCACAAGGGGGTGGATTTGAATCTCAAAAGAACTGGATTAATTCTATCTCAATGATGGTGTAGAGATTACACATTCAAAGTGCCCTGTCCAGTACTTGATGGACTGAAAGGGATTGCAATCATTGCCCTGATAGCCTATGATTTTATCTTAAATAGGCTACTCACCACCCTCCACTCCCACCTGTCTGTTTTGCCATTTTGCTCTTCAAACTCTATGCAGAATCTAACTTTGCCTTTAGTAGTATTTTAGGCTTTTGTGGGTCTTTTAGTTTGTAGAGGGGAGGGAGGACAGGGCCAGAAATTAGCAACCCTTGAAATGTTCAGATTTCCTTGATAATGTCACTTTCTGTTATCAACACCTGGTCCCTGTTACATTGTAACACAGTTTTTATATCTCATCGGCATTAAGAAGATACTTAGCCTTACAAGGTATCTAATAGGGAGATAAGCTCAGGGCTCAAGCATGTACTCCTGGCGCTCTGCTGTAGGCTAAGATGAACTTTGAAAATTGGTTTCTTACAATGCCTTAACTTACACATGATCCCCTTCAGGGAGCCTAGGAGGCATTCTCCCAGAACAAGCTTGGCAGCAGTGGGGTGACCGGAGACTCCGGGTCTTCAGAGGGACTCATCGCAGGAGGGAAGTTCCCTTGGTTAGTGGAACAGGAGGTAGAGGTAGGGGAGCTGAAAAAAGTGGAAGGAAGAGGACCTAAGGGGGACCTTGTACTTACAGCGGGACAAGAAACCTTCCTGGACTTGAGGACTGGAGCCTGAGGCTTATAACCCAGTGAAGCAAAGTGTGTGCTCACGCTCCCTGCGCGGTGCCCCTCTCGAGCCCTCGCGCTGGAAGGCTTGCTCGCGGGCAACAAGAGCATTTCACACTCCTGGCCAGTCTCTGCTCCCCACTATACGCTCTCTCCAAAAGATGCCACTGAGGGTGGCAAAGAACCAGCTGGCGTTTATTTACCTCCCCGCAGGTAGGCTTACAAAGAAATATATTCACACAATGGGAACGAGGAGGGGGGAGGATATAGGAGCCAGGGAGGTTTTGTTGTTGTTTTTGTTTTTTAAATCCATATTTGTTCCGCAGGAGAAATGCCGTGATGGGCTTTGCGCCCTACTTTGAAGGTCAAGATCAAGCTGATCCCTTTGCTTAGTTATAATGGCCCATTGGGGCAACAGTAAACCAAGTGCAGGAGGTCTCAAGGAGGAAGAAAAACTTTTCCCCGAGAGTTCAACCCTGAACGCACTCGGACAATGACTGCCCCCCAGGGACAATACCCTTGGGCCAGGCCCTACTGCGTTTTGCAGGGACAGCTCAGCATAGGATTGCAGCGAATGCAGGACAATCTGTCACTTAGTAGATGCTTCTCAGAGACTTGAGGGCACAAGGACGCACCTCCCGGTATCTCCCCGAGTTTAGGGTGCAGCCCCGGCCCCGAGCATGAGCAGAGGGGAAAGCTGAGGAGTTCAGCGAGTGACTTCACGCTCCTGGACCAACTGCACCCTCTCCCCGCCCTCTCAACTGCCCCCTCATTCCAAATACCACTCAGCTTCATAGACCCTTCTATTCCTCCAGGCAGCGTTCCCCACTTGGAGCTTGGGACTTGGTGAATTGGAATTGGTCTTGGAGTCCCCCTGGCACGCCTCTCAGAAATCTAGCTGGTGGGAGAGGGACAGGGACTGGCAGCCCTGAGCGCCTGTGCGCCGTTACCTGGGGGTGGTTCTGAATTTCGTGGGCCGCAACGTGAAGCAAGACAGCCTCCTAGGCGCGGGGAGGGAAGAGAGTTGCTACGGAGGCAGGTGACGACAAGGGACGAGCAGGGCTTGCGCGCTCTAAGTACTGGGTCCAGCGGGGGGGCCTGGACTGACAGACTTGCTAAGGAGAGTGGCAGCCCCCGCTCCCCCCGCGTGGCGGCTGCGCCCCCTCCTCCGCACAGTCTACCGCCTCACCCCCGCCGCTCTGCCCCGCGCTGCCGGGCCACTTAGGAATCCACCCCAGGGTCCTAACTGCTCTTGGAAACATAACTGGAGGCTGCGATACTAGGACCCCGAGGGAGACTGCCTCAGCCACAGCGCGCTCTCTCTCTCTCTCTCTCTCTCTCTCTCTCTCTCTCTCTCTCTCTCACACACACACACACACATTCTCTCTCCTACCCACTCACCCCCACCCTTGCATTCCCTCTTGCCAACTTCTGGCAAACTTCTCTCCCTTTGCCCCATTTCTCCTGCGCCCCCTCCTTCTGGCGGGCGAGGCTGGTCTCCCGGGCTTGCCCTTCCCGGTTCTGACTTTGTCTTAAAGTGTTGATTGACGGTTGCAATTACAAAGGATGATGGCTCGGGGAGGCTCCCGCAGCCTTGATGAGCTGGAGAAGCGCAGTCCTGGCATATTTTATCCGGGCTCAGCGTTACGGGGCCGTGCGCTTCCTTCACCCCGCGGGTTCGAGCGGGGAAGCTCTCCTACTCCCCTCCCGCCAGCGGCCAAGCGCCCGGCTCCCCTCCTCGGCACCCCGCCCCCTCCTCCCACCTCCCAGTCACCTCCCCCCCTCCCCGCTTCGCCGCCCCTTCACTTCTCCGTCTTGCCTTGCACGCTGCCCCTCTGAGAGTCCAGAACAGCCTGCCCTTGACCTGACCTGATAAGTGTCAGGCGGTTCCCTTCGTTCAAGTGTGGGCTGCATAAGGGATGCAATGTCTAGATCTGCCGGAGTGGTGCAGATTTCCTAGGCTTAACACGTACAGAGCCAACACAGCCCGGGAGACGAAGGCTGTGAGCTCGCGCCCAAGGGGAGAAGCGGTGCAAGAGCTGTGCACACTTTCACCCTTTTAAACCATTTCGAACAGCTCTTCAGTTGCTACTTTGTGTATGTTTCTAAGAGATCGGAATAGTTAACTCTGCTCTTTCTCAAGCCTCTTTTCTTTCGCCCCAGGCCCAAGAGAAAGTTAATTTTGTGGTTATTGCTATTTATTGTTTACTTGTTGGTATTTAACAAAGAGGTCCACAACCAGACCAAAACAGATCAAAGGAGAAGAAAAGCACATTTCAAATTCACCTGTTTGATTTATTCTCCCTCCCTTTCCACCCGAAAAACCCGCTTTGACCTTTCTCTGAAAATGACCTTTGCTGGCCCTCCTGAGCTCTGGGGGCGGGGGGTGGGGGGTGGGGTGTCACCGTCCCACCTCTAGTTTCCCAGTCAAAGAAAGACCAGTAGCGGTTTGCTTTAAAAGGAGCAGCAAATCGTGTTACCTCAGACTTTGAAAAACTTTAAAAGAACAGAGTTTAGTGAGAAGTTGTGCCATAAAAAAAAACCAAACACAACA